TCATCACCAAAGAACACCTATAACACCTAGAAGGACCGGAAGTCCCCTGGGTTACCAAGCCAGGAGGGGGAAGGGCTGGGGGCCTCAGCCATGCCCCCAACACCCACAACCATTCCCAAGGGTGAGGGGCTGAGGGCCTTGGCCATGCACCCCCAACACCTGCAACCAGCCCAGCAACAACTACTGAGCTGCTGCAGAAAGCACCCTGGGCTCTCCTGAGCCAGGGTGGTGGGGGATTGAGGGCCTTGGCCACACACCCCCAACACCCACAACCAGCCCAGTGATGACCGCTGAGCTGCCGCAGGAAGCACCCTGGGCTCCTGAGCTGGGGCGATGAGGGGGCGAGGGCTTCAGCCACACCTGACACCTGCACCCAGCCCAGCAAGGACCGAGCCACCGCTGGAAGCCCCCTGGTCTGCCCTGCAGGAGTAAGGGGGGTGCCACAGGCCTCAACCCTCCCCTCCCCCTTCATCCCACCCTACTTCCTCCCCCTTTCCCCTCTCCCCCCCAACTGCTCTGCAACAATACCACAGAATGTAAAAAAAATAGTAATATTAATAAATAGTATGGTGCTGGCATAAGGATAGACACATAATGGAACAGAATTAAGAATCGAGAAAATAGTCGCTTATATTTATTGTCAATTGATTCAGGTTGTCAAGACCATTCAGTGGGAAAATAGTAATCTTTTCAACAAATGGTGCTGGGACAACTAGATATGCACATGCAAAAGAATGAAGTTGCGGGGCCGGCCCGGTGGTGCACTGGATAGTGCACCGCTTGGGAAGCGCGGTGGCGCTCCCGCCCGCGGGTTCGGATCCCACATACAGACCGGTTCCCGCTCACTGGCTGAGCGAGGCACGGGAGCAACGCCGAGGGTTGCAATCCCGTTGCCGGTCCCGGTCCGGTACGGGGGCGACACTGAGGGTTGCGATCCGTTGCCGGACACGGAAAAAGACAAAAAAAAAAAAAAAAAAAGAATGAGGTTGCACTCCCTACATTGCGCCATACTCAAAAATTAACTCAAAGTGGATCACATACCTAAATGTGATGAGTGTAAGACTCTTACAAGAAAACATAGCAGCAAATCTTTGTGACCTTGGGTTGGGCAATGGTTTCTTAGCTATGACACCAAAGCCCAAGCAACAACAGTAAAAATAAACTAACTGAACTTGTATCAAAATCTAAGACTTATATGCTACAAACGATACCCATCAAGAAAGTGAAATTACCCAAAGAATGGGGGGAAACATTTGCAAATCATATTTCTGGTACGGGGCTTGTATCCAGAATATACAAAGAACTTTTAACAATAAAAAGACAACCTAAAATAAGCCAACGGTTAACAGACATTTCTCCAAAGAAGATATACAAATGCCCAATAAGCACATAAAAAGATATTCAACATTATTAGTCATCAGGAAAATGCAAGTCAAAACTGCAATGGAACACCACCACGTGACACCGACTAGGACAGTTAAAATCAGAAGGTGAGATAATAGCAAGTGTTGAGGATGTGGAGAAAAAAGAACTCATTCACTGCCAGTGGGAATGTAAAATGGTACAGCCACTTTGGAAAACAGTCTGGCAGTTTCTTATATGGTAGAGTTATATCCCCACCTAGGTAGGTACTAAAGAGAAATCAAAACATATGTCTGTGCAAACACTTGTACGTGAGTGTTTACAGCAGTGTTATTCATAATCGCCAAAAGGTGGAAGAAATCCACATGTCCATCAGCTAATGAAGAGGTAAACATAATGTGGTATTATCTGTACACTGGAACATTATTCGGCCAAAGAAGTGAAGTGCTGATACATGCTACAACAGGGCTTTGAAAACTTTATGCTAAGCGAACAGGGCACATACAAAAGGCTACAAGTTGTATGACTCCATTTATATGAAAAGTCCAGAATAGGCAAATAGAGACAGAAAGATTAGTGGTTGCCAGGAGCTGGGTGGTGGAAAGGAAATAGGGAGTGACTGCTGATGGGACAGTGTTTCTTTTGGGGGTGATGGTTACACAACTGTGAATATACTGAAAGCCACTGAATTGTATACCTTTAAAATGTGGATTTTATGGTGTATGAATCTCAATATAGTGTTTTTAAATAATGGGTTGCTTTAAAAACCAACTCAATAGAACCGGTACAGTGCTTTAACATACAGCGTAGTTGCACTGGTTCGTTCCCACATTCTTGGTATATTCAGTAATTGTGGGCAGACGGTTACGGCCATAATGCTACTATCACAATAATTTTTTAAATCTTAAGTGCTGCAAGAGTTTAAATATTTTAAACTTAATTGTGCTGATTAATATTTAATTAATTAAATAACTAGTAATTAGTAACTTAATAACTAGTAATTAACACATAATTAATATGTGTTTAATTAATACGTACATCAGGTTTGTTCTTAAGCTGTATCACTGACCCATAGTTAAAATGACAACTTTGGGGCCGGCCCGGTGGCGCACTGCTACAGTGCACCGCTTGCGAGCGCGGTGGCGCTCCCGCCGAGGGTTCGGATCCCACATACAGACCGGTTCCTGCTCACTGGCTGAGTGAGGTGCGGGTGCGACACGGAGGGTTGCGATCCCGTTGCCGGTCCCGGTCCGGTACGGGCGCAACACTGAGGGTTGCAATCCGTTGCCGGACATGAAAAAAGACAAAAAGGAAAAAAAAAATGACAACTTTGAATGCAAATCTCTTAACTGGTAATGACAGCCCATCCCAGGGGGAGGGGGGCAGCAAGAGGGGAGATTTCCTAGACTCTCTCGAGAAGCAACTAACAAGCCTACTTGGGGAGTTTGTTCTATGTCTGTCTAAGGGGAGAGGCCAGAGAGGAGCAGCATGTGACACATACTACACAGCTCCCTCCCCGGCCCTCTTCATTCCATGCAGAGTCACTGCCCCAGCAGGCCCGCCACTTCTACCATTACCTGCCTCAGGTGTGCTGGAGCAGAAGACAAGCCAGCTCCAGGTGTCTTCTGGGCTTGACTGCCTGTCACTGAAATAGGGCTCCAAGTTGCTACTCCTTACAGTCTCCGGTATGGCCTGAAGCATCTTTTCATCCAACTGAAGATCAGGCGCGTGGTTAGTTATCTTTGTAGACCTTGGGTCTCCATTGTGAGCTGGCGCCTGCTGGTCACGTGCGAGGACTCTGGCCTGCCCCTGCAGCCGTCATGCTCCTGGGGCTTCTATACCCCGGCTTAGGACACCTGTAAGCGGTGAGAAGCCTCCACTCCTGAGAGCTTTGGTGCCGCACTTCCTCAGCCCCCTCGCCCTCAGAAGATGGTTTATTTTACAAGTTCTTTTCAGAAAGGTTAATTAGTATCTGAAACTTTTTGTGAGAGTCAATTTCCTCCTGCTGCTAAAATGATGACAATAACAAATAATTAAAGGAATTAAAATTTAAGAATAAGTATATGAAGTAAAATAATTTGTTAAACATCCGTGTAGATAGTGCACTAGATTGCTCTGTGCCTCAGTTGCTCGTGGCCACACTATGCCATCTGAATGCCCGCCCGCTCCTGCTCTCTGGAGGGAAAGGGATGCAGTCCTGGGCAGGGACCCTGGGGCTGCAGACTGCTGGCTGCTAAGCTCACCACCTCAGGTCAGGTGCACAGGAAGGACTGGCCGGGAGTCACGCTTCTGTCTTGTAGGTCTAGAGATAGTACCGGAAGTTCCCCAAATAATGCCTCACGTTCTTGCTCCTCTTTCACAGGCCTCTATCCTGACCAATGCCTGGTTTCTCAATAGTTGTATATTGCCTCCACAAAAAAAGGTTAAGGAGTTAAATTTATTTGTTTAATAAGGAGTAGCGACTATTTGAATGACTTAGTAGCAGGGTAAGGCAGAGACACCCAGTATTCACGTTCCAGAATAAAAACATATTTATTTAAGTTTTTCAGAAGTACAGAATAACATAGCTTCATCATTCAGGAGACACTTTATAACTTCTGTTTTGAGAACATACACTGTGGACATTTGATGAAAAAACATGTTTGATGTAAAACAATTTCTGGTCATTTCCAATCTATATACCTTACAACTTCAATTTTTTTTTTTCCTTTTTATCTTTTTTACTGACCGGTAACGGGATCGCAACCCTCGGTGTCGCGCCCACACCGGGGACCGGCAACGGGATCGCAACCCTCGGTGTTGCGCGTGCACTGCACTCAACCAGTGAGCGGGAACCGGTCTCCACATGGGATCTGAACCCTCGGCAGGAGCGCCGCNGTGCACTGCACTCAACCAGTGAGCGGGAACCGGTCTCCACATGGGATCTGAACCCTCGGCAGGAGCGCCGCCGCGCTCCCAGACTGCGCACTCTCCAGTGCGCCACTGGGCCGGCCCACAACTTCAATTTTTAAAAAAATTAACCTCAAGTTTTCTTGTCTAACACTAGGTCAACAATAACTCTAAAAAGGGAAGAACACAGCACTGTCTCCAGGTGGTAATGTTAGGGTAAGCTGGGGGAGGTGAGACCCACAGACCTGGGGACGGTCACACAGCTTGTTACACACAGGAATACGACAAGATGGGAAAATCATAGTTTCAGGTGTCATTTGAACTATCTATATAAGGTATACATTATAAAAAGGTAATTTGGAACGTTTCACAAATGTATGAAAGATACCTGTTCTAACTGCCTGTGAATGCACAACCCTGAGCTGAGAATAGAGACGGGTGTGTGACACAGCACAGCCTGAAGTCGCTCCCCTCTCCAATTTATCCCTCCACATGGGCAGGGAACTTGTGATTAATGACGCTGAGCCAAAAAACGTGAACTCGTTAAGTACACAGGTGTAGAAGGTGGGGTCACTTCTAAACACAACAAAATTACCTTCAACGTGAAAAGTTAAAAATTAAAAGCACAGGATGGGCCCCGTGGCTCACTTGGGAGGGTGCGGCGCTGGTAGCGCCGAGGCCGCGGGTTCAGATCCTATATAGGGATGGCTGGTGCGCTCATGGGCTGAGCGTGGTGCGGACAACACCAAGTCAAGGGTTGTGATCCCCTTCCCAGTCAAAAAAAAAAATTAAAAGCACAACATGGAAACAGAAGCAGCTGCTGGCTAACGACAGTCCTTACTGACACATGCTGGTACTTTAACACATGAAACAGGTGGTCAGCAGCTAAGGATGAACATTTTCATGTATATTTGTTTTAAGAAGTAATTCTGCAAGGAAACCTGCACAGGAGAGCGACCTCACTGTGTGGCAGCTGCTGCTGCTAAGGTCGCTTGCTCCTGGATCACCTCCTCCTGACTTGCTTTTTCTTTTCCCCTCTGCTGACTCAGACCTGCCAGAAGCAACCCAGCAGGTGCTGATGGCAACGGACAGAGAGGCCGTCAACTCCAGCTAATCAGCCCAGCTAGACGGGGAAAGGCTGATTCAAGGGGGGAGAGGAAAGCATTGTCAGGGAGATGCCAAAAGGGCTGAGCTGTGTGAAGGCAGCCAGCGCAGGCATTTTCTGGAATCAGGAAGAATCAGGTGTTCAACCTTGAAATAGGCACTGTGCCTTTTCTGTGCTGCCAGAGACACCCTTCAATTCTAAACCAACATACCAGGCAAAGTTCCTGAAAGCAGGCCTGTAACAGGCTGTGGCTGAATTTGTTTTAGTACAGGGAGGAAAAAAAGGCCCAGTCCAAAACAACGGACCCAACAGGAATTTCCCTGTCCTTTTTAACCCCAAACATTCATTAGTTCAATTTAGTATTTCAATGACCAAGAATTTTGTTGAAATGGTTTTCTTCTAGTGTGGAGGTTTCTCTCACTCAGAGGCAGAGTCTGGCACCACAACCCCCAGTGACCTCCAGGCAGGGCACAGGTCTCAGCCTGTTCTTTGTAGGTCTGGTTGGGTTTTGACTGGAGGTACCCAAAGTTCTGTGACATGGAAGCTACTCTCCACGCCAGCTCTGAAGACAGGTGAGAACACGGCTTCAGTGGCCTCTCTTCTTTTGTGGGAAAAACCTATACTTTGTTGGGTTAAACTCTTCCCAAATTCGCTCAAATTCTTCCAGAAAAAGCCTGACATACTCTTCATCCTCCATGATCAGGACGTTTTCTCTGTTGTTCTGAATGGCTTGTGTGGTCCAGTTGAGGGAGCCAGTGATGAGCACCTTCTTGTCCACGATGGCAAATTTGTGGTGCATGTAGCCCAGGTCTTGATCATGTCGAACCTGGATACCTGCAGAAAGGGCAAACCGACATCTCACTACACTTCACAAGAGGTGCCGCACTCTAGAAGTGAGGACCATTTCCTTGGAGCTACTCATTTTGCTGTTTGTTTCCAGTTTGGTGGGAAAGGAGAAGCCCACCGTGCTGTTACAGGGTGGTGGTGGCTGAGCTAGGTGGGGACCAGCCTCCACACTAGCTCCTAAGGAGGAAGCCAAGAACCATGGAGTGAAGAGCAGATGAGCATGGGAGGAGCCCAGAGCAGCTCCTCACACCACCCTGCAGGGCTGGGACCAGCACGTCCCAGAGGACCTGGACGGTCCCAAGTGTGGGGTTGGCAGCAGAGACCACGGGGGACAGACACCTGTGTATCAGCCTCCAGCAGATGCTGCGCCCTGGACATCACTCAATCTCCTCTGGAGAACCACCCAGGTTCACACCTCTGGAGAATAAACCAACCAGCACCTTCCTTTGGGATTACTGGTTCCAGGCAGAGGCCATCAGAGCAAAGACGGCATGCTGGGGTCTCCCTGCTTAAGCTTTCACTTTTCCAGGGCACTGAGGACATGAGTCACACCTGCTCTGTAAGGAGCAAGGGCGAGCCTGAGGAGGACAGAGGGGCCTCAGCATCGGGGCCTCACCTCGCTGGCCCCACTCCAGGCCCATCGATTCCCAAGGTGCATCCAGCTTTTCCAACCCTGACACGAAAGCCAAGTATTCTCTTCCACGTCGCCCTGCCTCCTTCACCAAAGAACTGTCATCAGTGTCTTTCATTTTATATCCCACTTTCCAAACTCCTCCAGGGGAGGGACCTCAGCTGTCTTGTCTGCCACTGTACCAAGCCCTGGAGTAACACCTGCCTCCATCATCTCCATTCAGTGTTGGGGGGCCTCCACTGAAGTCAGAAATTTGACTTAAGCGAGTTTAAAGTAGGCTGCTTTGGAATAGGGTTAGGGTTTATGCCGGGAATTGATTGAAGCGTGTCCTCACAGTTCATACATTAGAAGCTTACTCCCCACTGTAGCTGTTGAGGGTGGGAAATCCTATTATAGTCACTGAAAGGTGGGGCCTTGAAGAGGTGATTGGATTGTAGGACCACGTCTTAGTGAACGGATTAATAATGGTGGTCACAGGCGTGCTTCAGAGGGCTTTAAAAGAAGAGCACGAGGGCCGGCCTGTGGCTCACTCAGGAGAGTGTGGTGCTGACAACACCAAGGCCACGGGTTCGGATCCCATATAGCGATGGCCGGTTCGCTCACTGGGTGAGC